TATACTTAAATTTTCAGATTGATTTATTTTATTTATCTTGAAAAAATAAAAGTCAAAAATACATTATTAATTCAATTTGATTTGATATACATAAATTTTGATTTATTGATTGATTGATTGATTTATTTTAATTTATCTTTAAAAAAGTAAAAGTCAAAAATAAAATGATAAAAAAATGTTGATAATCAAATCATTTTACATAAATAAAAGTTCAAATAAAATTAATACATCGAATTCGTTGATTTAATTTTTTATTAAAAAATCATTTATGTAAATAAAGTTAAGTTACAAAATTCAAATATTGAATTAGTTGATTTCATTTTGATTACAAAATTCATTCGATGTTTAATCATTTACCATTATTATTATTATTATTATTATTATTATAGAAACGAAATCTCGTGCAAGTTTGGTTTGCAAATTGTGTATGGTGTAAAAAAAATTGTACATGGGGATCCGTGATTGAAGTTTGCGTTTGAAGATGAAAATTTACATCTTACTCAATCGTATTACTACTACCCGTTACTTATTTTCTTTGTTTTTTTTTTTTCTTCTTTAGATAGTAAAAGTATGATGATGCGATGTGCACTTTCAATCGTTCTGATATAATCTCGCATAATCTTTCTCTTTCTCACAATTAATTTTTATTTTTTATTTTTTTTTTATTTTTATGAAATCTCCCTCTCTCTCTCTCTCTCTCTCTCTCGTTCTCGTTCTCTCGTAACTTTTGTCAACAATAGGGTAAAGCAAACTATTACGTTTGTGGTGGTCTATCATTTCGTTCGATTCTATTCTATAATTTCACGCGAGATACCTTTCGATTTCTCCCAAGCTTATTCTTCATCTTCATCTTCATCTTCATCCTCATCTTTATCTTTATCTTCATCGTCATTTTTTTGCTGTTGTTTCATTTGAAATGAAAGATCTTTCGCGAAGTATACTTATCTGCTTGGCATTTACCAATGGAAACGTTCCTCATTCTAACTCACCAAGAACCATACCGTATTTAGATATGTATATACGTGTGTGTGTATATATATGTATGTAGTTATGTATTCATGTATGTAATACGCGTATGTATGTTAATTTTTATGCATGTTAAAAAGGAATCTTTCGTATCGATGCTAACTTTAGCAACAGCAACAACAGTCAACATACCAAACTTTTCAAACTATTTTCGATGACAATATTTGTATGAGAATAAATTTGAAATCATTTGTATGAAGTTGCCATATATATATAAAATAATAATTTAATAATTGAAAAAAAATTATCATCCTTTTTGTCTCATGCTTGTTCAACGAAGCTTCTTATTTTTGTTTCTTTTTATTTGAAACTAAATTTGTATAATTAATTATTCAATTTTGTACATGTACATATGTATATATTATTAAATATTATAAATATGTGAAAAGAAAAGATTAGAATAATTTCGATTAAAGAATACATAATTGGGCAGACAGAAAAAGAAAAAATAAATAATCGAAACTCTCTCTCCCCCTTTTTTAAAAAGTAGTAAAGCTCACAAGAGAAGAGTGTTAAAAAGTTGAAAAGAAAATGTTGAAGCAAAAAAATGAATGGGATCCTTGTACACGTTAGATGAAAGAAGGAAGGAACTTCAGTAAAAGGATCAAGATCAAAAGCGACGATGATAAAGTAAGAAAAAAAGAAAAAAAGAAAAAAAGAAAACAAATCAGAAAATAAAATGCAGTAATGAAGGAAGGAAGGAGTCTCTGTCTGGTGAGATGATCAAAGGACGAGAAACTCGATGAAACTCAGTTCTTCTTCTTCTTCTTCCAATCGGTATTCTTAAATTATTTTTAATTTAGTCTTCCAATGAAGATTCCTTCTTTCTTAAGAACGGTCAGAATAAAATCTCATACCCATAAAGGATCGTTAAAGTTGGAATAATATTAAATTATTCGAATCGATTGTAATTATGTTAAAGCGAATGGACAAATTTCAAAAAAGGAAACGTTTCGATTGGATCAGAATTATTTAATAGACTTCCTTCCGTTGACCATTAACAAAAATATTTTCGATGAATCATCTTTTCAAGAGTTGATTGAATCATTCTACAAAATATTATTCTTTTTTCTTATTATTATTTAAATAAAGAAAGTTAATCTGACTTTGTAATTAGATTTATAAAACTCATCTAATTGTTCTACATATGTTTAACTTTATTTCATTTATTATAAATTATTATATATTAATATATTATTATATTATTATATAATTATTAGACTACAAAACACATTTCTTATATATATAATAATAATTAAAATATATAAAAAATATAATAATTTCTTATATATATATGTATTTGAAAATGAGTAATCGGATAGGCATGCATAAAGCATTTTATTTTTTGTTGGAAATGACTTCCCCTATTACATCCTTTTGTTTAATCCATGACTTCTGGGACATCCGGTGTACGATACTCGTATACATATACATACACGTTCACAATACTCTCATACATATATACATTACATCGTATACAATACACACAGAGATGAGGATGTCTGTTTAAACATGTCCAAGCAAATATCTTGCAGCTGGTTGAAATTACAAGGAACTTTAATAAAAGAAATTTGCACTTTACTGGCAATGAAATAGCAATAAAGTTTATTAAACAAAAAAAGAAAAAACAAAAAAAAACCAAAAACAATAGTGAAGTAATTATCATAATTAAATTTGATGATAAATCGATAAAACGTCTAACTCGTTCGTTTGTTAAATACTTCTATGAATAATCAAGAATATTTAAACAAATATAAATATCACTAGATTAGTAAGTACACATATACATCTATCAAAGTTTCAGATACATGTGCTAATAAGGGAGAGAACGTGTCAATAATGACGTATTGACATACATGCATCGATATTTGAAATTGCGAAAGTAGTCGAGTCAAAGCCTTGAGATTTGTTATGAGGTAAATGTTAAAATATTTCAAAAGAAAATAAATCAAAAATTGAATCTCAACAGGAAAACGTAAGAAAAAAAATGTTGCATGAATTAAATAAAAAAAGAAAATCAAATCGTCGAATATTTACATTATTATACGCGGTGTCTTGTAATTGGTGATACAATCGTATCATTAAGTTGTTTAATATAATATAATAATCTAATATTTAACAATTTCCTAATTACAATGTAAATATATATATATGTCGTAACTTCATAATAAAAATATGAAATAGACAATTTTTAGATATTAAATTAATCAAATGTAATAAAAATAAAGATAAGAATCACCTATTAACTTAATTATTACCAACACAACTTGAAATAATTATTTTAACAATAATAAGCTAATATAGTAACACTCAATCATTTTGAAGCTTTACTCCATTCATTGTAACATAATTTAATTTACATCATCCTTTCTCAAAGTAAACCTAATTTGAATAATTATCAAATTTTGCTAATTGTTGAATTAAAAAGTGAGTGAAAAGAACTTATTCATTATTGAGAATCCGTGTAAATACGAAAGTTTCGTTAAAAAAAAAAAAAAAGAAAAAAAAGAGAAAACACTTAACGTTAATTCGTTTTAAAAATGTCACATAACTATTTCACACTCGATGATTCACACTGATATGTCAAGATTAGGTAAATTTTGGATCTAATTAAGATCTCGTCATGGTACGCTTATCTAGAAAGGAAACAAAAATACATTAGTCCGTTTATATTCAAGATTTAACGACATGATATTTTTTATTCGTCAAATAAATGTTGAGATTTTTTTTTTTTAATTGTTTCAATGTAATCTTTGAAAATAGAAAACGTGTTATTAAATTAATTAAAAAATTAATCTCATATATATATAAATTACGTGTCACGTTGTTTGTCCGCAATGGACTCCTAAACTCCTGAACCAATTTGAATAAAATTTTGTACACTGTGTGCAATTTCATTCAACTTAAGAGATAGGATAGTTTAGATCTCAATTTATAATCGCAATATTTTTTGCACGTAATCTTGCAAGTTAAAAATTAGATTCGAATATATTTTCGTGTCATATTCAAATAAACATCACAAGTTAAGTATATATCTACTGAATATACAAAGCAGCAATTAATTATCAAATATTGACCAATATTCTTTTATCTTTAAGATAGCAGCCCCTCCCCATTATAACATAAACGTTCAGTAAATTTCCAAATCATTTAAAATACCCAATGAATCATACTAAATTCAAAGTAATATTATTTTTATCTTTTCTTATTTCATTTCGAAGCCCTTAAAAATAGTCTTCCCTTCGTTATTATCTTCTTTAGTGTTCTTAGTTTTCTTCTATCGATCGTATCAAACAATTTTATTATTCACGTTACATATATTATTTTTAATTGCATAATTCATAACTTGTATAACAATAATTACTTCATCTCGAAGGATATGATTTAACATAATTCAAAAAAAAAAAAAAAATAAAATAAAATAAAATTAGTTATTGCAATATGAAATATTTTTTTTTGTTTTTTTTTTTTTAATCACTACACATGGCCGACATTCTAAAATTTCTCTTCATGTTTCTCCTCATATATCATTTTTTACATGAGTCAAATGATCATTTCAAAACTCTGATGAATTATTGATAACCGATGAGAAGTTGTGTTTCGGCCATGCTCGTATCGTTTCGTCTCTCGGTTTGTTGTGTAAGAAGTAATTTATGTATCTATGTATGTATGTATATGTATATGTATTTTTGATGAATAATATCGATATATAGTTTATTCGATTTAATTCATAAACAATCGAGAATATTTCTATAATTACGTTTGATTTAAGGTTAAATCTCATTTGTAACCTTTGTTTTTTTTTTTTTTTTTAATTATTATTTCAATACAATTATTCTAAATTTAATCATGAGTTTTTTATTAATACAAATATTTCTAACAAATTACGAATAATTTTTAAATCGAAATAAATGTATTTGTATGAACCACATATAAATAATAATAAAATATATCTTTTCTTGTTTGTATTACAGAAGGATACTGATGCGAAAACTGTGCAGTGCCTGAACGAAGCGTCAGCTTCGTGAAAGATAAAAAGAGAAGCACAAGAAGAAGAAGAAGAAAAAAGGATTAAAAGAAAGAAAGAGAAAGAGGAAAAGAAGAAGAAGAAGAAGAAGAAAAAAGAACAAGTAGAACCAGGATGTTGCAGAGTTGCAACGGGAGCACGTCCCGACGTGCCAGGCGAGTCCTAGTGTTCGTTTTTGCATGGAGTTTAGTGATGATAGCAGCAGTACAATTTCGTCATATGGAAAACAGTGCATATCGAGCAGGTAGTAGTAATAATAATAATAATCCCGTTAATGTTGTTAATCGAAATAGCGAAGAAAATAATGTTATTGGTGGTGGTGGTGGTGATTTGATCATAGACGATAATAACAATTACATGGGTCGTGAAACGATCGTGAGAACAAGACTATACGATAAAACGTCTTCCGATTCGTCAAGTAGTAGTCTCGCATTATCTCGTTATCTTTTGCAAAGATCTAAAGACCCAGAGACTGGTTTTGGTAATAACATAATTGGTGGATCGATTATACCAACAACAACAACAACAACTACTACTACTACTACTACGATAATAGGTAATAAAAATAACGATGAAAATCCAATTACGAGAAATCCATTGGATTTGGAGCCCCTGTTGGATAAGAGACCAGCTAAAACTGAAGAAGAATTGATTGAAGAGATTGAAGAAAGGTTACCAAGTTTACCGCTTGCTTATTGGAGCAAAAGTAACAACAAGTTTAACGGTCAATTAAATAAATTATCCAAAAAGGGTAACGAGAGTTGTGCCAATTTCAAGTTTCCATCGATCTACGATCTAGAATTTAATAACGTTTATTGGCAAACGTTGAGGACAAGTAACGGTACTTTCCAGTTCTTCGGAGCATTTTACGATAAACGAAAGCTTTCGAGGATTGGTCCGGCAATAAGGATAGTCGGTATGATCGATAGGATCGAACCTACTATTAAAACTTATTGTCAGATGTGGTTTGACGGTGAAAAAAGTCCCGTGGTTGTTGAATATATGGAATACAAATACATATGGTATCCTAAATGGGGTAATTATAAACAGGGAATATATCAGCCATATGTTATAGCTTGCAAAATACCGCAATCTCATTGGTCTAAAGGACCACCAGCATCCATTTCAATGGTTGAAAAACCTTGCGACACTGCTACCAACAATCTAAGAGTTATTTATAACAAACCCGAGCGTAAAAAAGATTTTGCCGTATGCGTTAAGGGTTTAGATTTCTTGCACGAAGATCTATCTGTCAGATTGGTCGAATGGATCGAATTGATAACCCTACTTGGTGCCGATAAAATATTTTTCTACGAATTACAAGTACATCCTAATATAACGAAAGTTTTGAATTATTATCAAAGACATGGCAAAGTACACGTGACACCTCTAACATTACCCGGTGGACAACCAAACGTTCCATCCTTTCAACACATGTACCTTACGAAAAAAACCAATCATAAAAGACAAAATGAATTAATACCCTACAATGATTGTCTTTACAAACACATGTACGAATACGAATACATAGCACTGTTGGATGTAGATGAAGTGATCATGCCCGTTAAAGATGCAACTTGGCAGGACCTTATGAAAAGGGTTTTACCAAAGGCCTTCAAAATACGAAATGAGACACGTGCATCGTACAACGTTAGAAACGTTTACTTCCTCGACGACCTGCTGCAGTCCCATGGCCATTTCAAGGACATACCTAGGTGAGTTCGAGCTCTGACTTTCACGGCACATAATAATTGCTTAACAGTTATCTATCTCTTTCTCTCTCTCTCTCTCTCTCTCTCTCTCTCTCTCTCTCTCTATCTCTCTCGGATCCTGTTCGTCAACGTGACATTAATTTTCTCCTAGACGTTTTTCTGTTTTTTTTTTTTTTCGTTTATTTTTACGTATAAGTTGGTGATTAATCGTCGTTCATATCAAAACAACTGTTTGTTCGCGTGATTTTCTTCTATGGGATTTTAAATTGGTTCAAATGAACGGAACAATGAATAGAGAAATGATGATGAAATCGCATTGAAAAAAAAAAATGATTAGGATGATTATTAATCGAATATCAGTTATTCAACTTGTCAAATTACAAAACAAATCGTTAAGGAAGTCTCGAATTTAAAGAATGCAATGCAGCATGCAGAATCGTGGTTGGCATAAACGATTCAATGCCATTATCATCATCATCATCATCATCATCCGCAAGTCGGTCAAACGGAAGCTTCCAATAATAATTAACGTGACAATTTTGTAATAAGAGAAAAAGAGAAAGAGATTTTCCTCTTCCTTTAGGTGTTATTTTTAAAATTGTCATAATTAGAGTAATACGTAGGTTAAACAAATAATACAATATAGATACACATTTATTAGAATTATAGTGTAGTAATCACTGGTTTCAATTAGAAAAAAAAAATTGTTTAGGATAAATAACAATTGATACAGGATTTAATTAAAATTACATGAAATAATTAAATCTCTCAGTTTAATTGAAAAATATTTTTCTACCATGTAGCAAAAGATATATTAATTAGTTAATTTATTATTATATTAATAATAAAATGCATTGAGATAATTGTAACAATTGAAATTTTGGTTTTTGATTAATTTTAGATACATGCACATGCTGCAGCACGTCTACCGTTCTAAGAACTTCACTAAACCAAACCAGTACATAAAGTGCTTCCATAATCCAGAACGAGTCGTCACTTTGCACAATCATTTCCCATTGGCGTGCCTTGGGGCAGGATGTACGAGTTATCCGATCGAGACAGAAGATGCACAATTGCAGCATTATCGTGCCGATTGTGTGAAGTCTTTAAAGAAGACTTGCGTCGAGTATCGGGAGAACAGCATCTTAGACACGACCATTTGGAGATATAAGGATCAACTTGTGGAACGAGTTACCAGAACATTACAAATCCTTGGATTCTTTGGTCCAAGCTAGCGTCACGTATTTTTTTTTACTTTTTTTTTTTTTTTTTTTTTTTTTTTTTACCTACAAACTCTCATCACAGATTGACAGAGTTTTATTCTATTGATATTGTTTTTTTTTTTTTTTACACATTATATAATCCTTATTATCGAATTTTGCTGATAAAATATTCTTGGACGTGTATGTTCGTTTGATTTCAACATATCAACGCGACAAATCTAGAATAATGAAATATTTTTTTTTTGTGTACGTTCGCAAAAAACAATTGATATAAAAATATACATCAATTACCAATCGTTTAGATTGATCATCTTCAAATTGTATTCCATTTTAAGGGAACTCTTAAATTTCACGTAATTTTTTTCATCAAAGATTTTCTACGAATTATTTTTCTTTATATTGTATTTATATTATTCATTGCGTTTACTATGATGAATTTTATAAAATACTTTTTACACTCGTAATTCTAAAAGGGCTCCTATCGTTAATTCAAACGTTAACAGTTTGAAGAAAACATTATTTGTTAGATAAAACGTATATTTTTTGTTTTGTATTATTTTTTTTTTTTTTCAAATCTTTAAAATCACGAATCGATTTAAATCTTACTGAAGAATATATATATTTTGTGTTTTCGAGTAATATTATTGTTATCGAAATTTATTAAATGGTTCGAAAAGTCGTTTCGTTTATCATTTGTAAAAATGAGGATAATTTTTGCTTCGAGGCTTAAACCTAAACCTTTCAAGGGGTCATAAATAATTGAATTTGATAAATTTTTAATCCTCTCGATCGATCTCATGTGTTACTATTTGTCAGGTTTGCATCAACTAATGCCCATTATTGTGTCAGCCAAAAACGAAACGACTATTCGAACCAACCTAATATATCTCTTTCAAAAATGTAAAATGTTTCGTTTTGTTTGAATGTCCTTTAAATGGCATTGATTGAAAATTTCAATTTGATTAAAAGTATATGGGTGTCAATAAGTTAGTTAAAACTAAATTTGTATTCATCTCAAACGTCTCTTCTTTTCATAATTTGTTAGTATAATGAAGCAAAAACATTCTATCTATCCTATCTCGTCGTTATATATCTTCAAAAATTGTCTTCTTAGTTAATTTTTAACTTGTTTAAGCTTCATGTGAGTGATATACTTGGATTCGATGTCATATCGTATCTTCTTCTTGATCTTTTTTATTTTTTTTTTTGTTTTCTTTTATTTCTTCTTATGGTGAACCTCGATCGCTTTCTTAATTAAATTGACCGTAATTCAAATATATTACGAATTAAACGAAACGTTAATAATTACGTATACATATACATATATATATATATATTTAATAAATACGTTTCATACTCAAAAATGAGTTTATGAGAAGGCGATTCATGTTGCACCATGATCAACAATTATTAAATGTAAACTAGATTTAGATTAGAATAACTATCTTCTTTTATATTATAATAAATACGTAGGGGTTTTTTTTTGGTTGACAAGTTTTGAATCTAACATAAAAAAAAAACAACATACAATTTTGAATAAATAAATAAAAATCGTTGTATTTTCTTCTTTTTTTTTTGTTGAAACTCAAAACTTATCAACCTACACCTATGTAAAAAAAAAAAAAACACAAAACAAATAGTCTTACATAATTTGTAATTATTTACTCGCATTCTTTACGCTTAAATCCTACGATTTTCGAACGTTGATCTTGTCAAGATGATGGAATCAAGATGACATTCCATCGAAGAGGATAAATTTTAGATTATCATTCTATTATTATTATTATTATTATTATTATTATTCGTTTCCTTTAAAAAAAAAGAAAAAAAAAAGAGAACTAATTATTATTCGCTATAACGTTTAGAAATGAAATGAAATGAAATGAAATGAAATGAAAAAATATGTGATAAACAAAAATTATATATAAATAATATTATAATGAAAATATTATCGAGAAAAAAAGTGAAAAAATATTTCTAAAAATCTTCTTTTTGTTTTTATTGAATTATGTGCCTTTTTATTATTAAATAAGTGCCTTAAAATGCACACATTCGGAACGTGGATAGCTCATTTATACGATGTTTCCTATCTGTATATATAATTTACTATAATTAATGAAGTTGTGTGTATGTGTGTTGTGTGTCTAACACGCACATACAGCAGAAATAAATAAATTAATAAATAAATAAATAAATAAATAAATAAAATCAATGAATGTCCATTAAATGAATTTTCATCGAAAATTATCGATTTCCTAATTAGTAAATAAATAAATAAATCATTTTAATAAATATATATATGTATGATAAGGGTGTTCCGTCACGCATTGCTGTGGCTCACAATCAGTCCGATACACACGTCTTTAAGTCAACGAATTACCTTATACCGACTTATTGCGATTAGAAATTGAGATATAAACTATCCTATCTTTCAAGTTGAATGAAACTGCATACAATGTGCAAAATTTGATTAAAATCGGTTCAATAATTTAGGAGTCCATTGCGGACAAACAACGTCATACGTAATTTATATATATTAAGATATTCATTACATTTGTTGAAAAAAATTCTTTTGTAAGAATTGATTATACGTAGATTGAAGAATTGATGTTAATTTATTTAACACAATATCTTGAATAGAAATCAAATGTAATCGATAGCGATTGTATTTGATTAACCAATATTTAAAATGGTGTCTTAACAGTCTTTAAAAGCGTATGCACACCTTGACATAGATGAACAATGATTAGATTCATTGATAGGAATAGTATTGCTCAATCGTTGAAATAAATTTTAAAGACATGTGTTGACATGTGTGACCAGTGCATCAAATACTTTGGATTACTCAAATTATTTCAATGTAAAACTTACAAATTTATATACTAATGATTTAACATAATCTTTTATACTCAAATATACCATATACAATGAATTATCAAATTTAAAGTAAATCAAAAAATTGATAATAAGATTTATTTCAAAATATTTATTTTATAATAAAAAATTAAATTCAATATAAAAATTGTATTTACAAAAAAAAAAAAAGGTATTACAAATAAAATCTCAACGCGTTAATTCAGCTTTTCACAAATTACAAAATAAGATTTGTTTAACGATCTTGTAAAATAACAATTTTTATCTTATACAAAATTACATTGAAATAATTTATATTGTAAAATAAATGAAAATTAATTTGTGTTTTTCTTTTTTCAATTTTTCTTCTTCCCCATTTTCATAATTAAAAATATATTACTTATTATTTATAAATTATTTCTAAACATAATAGATTCAATTGTTTTCTTGTTGTTAATTAATTCTTGTATGAATGAATATTGTGTAAAAGCAAAAATACAAACACATATAAGTGTAAAGTATTTATTAAAGAAGTAAAGTAGCATTTAATTTGTTTATCAAAAAGTCTTATTTACGTGTAACAAATAGATTTAGTATTAAACAAGTATACCATATTTATATCAACATTCATTCTCGTATAGATTAGAAACTAACTAAATACATTCGTTATACCGTTGTTTTAGGTTGTGAATTCGTTTTGGGTGTTTCGTTTACAGACGAAAATTCATCCGACGATATATATGCGCCCCGGAGGTTGGATAAATTTGGAACAACCATTCGCGAGATGAAACTCGTTGCTTATGTGTTACACCCATCGTCTCTTCTGTCTTTAGTTTAGTGGATTATTTCCAGTGTGTTGTGTGTCTGTCTCTCGGTAACAACAGAAAGAGTAAAAAAAAAAGTTCTCAGGGCGTGTTGACGACGGTTAACTGTTGGGTAGACATTCGCATGGTTTACTTATACATACATTTATGCAAAAGTGTGTTACAATCATTTATTCTATTCTATTTTTCTTGAATTATTTTGACGATTAAATTCGTCTTAAATTGTAATCAAATTTAACGTTATTTTTGTTTGTTTGTTTAATGTCAAAATTTATCTAACAGTTATTGATTGGTTATATCAATCTACATGTGTTGGATGATATAATTAAAAAAAATTCTTTAATAAACTTTGGTTTTTTTTTTTTTACAAAAATTCTTCTGCAAGTAAACAAAAATATTTATATAATATATTTTTAATCTTTCATCTTTCATCTTTTTGTTGTTTTATTTTATTTTTTTTTTCATGTGATACACAATTTATAAATGGTGTCTAATAATTGTATTACGAATGAATACGAAAGGGATGAAAATTTACAAACAATAATATACACTTTTTAATCCTTCATTTTTCTTTTTTTCTTTTTTTTTTTTTCTTAACGTATAACACAAAGTATAAAATATGATATACTTTTTAAAAAAATAATTATCAATCAATATTTTATATATTTTACAAGAGGTATCTACTTACCTACCTACCTACCCAATTTCAAGAAAAATTGATATACGAATTTTCATCGAACGAATTTATTTCATGATTCTCTGCCACTTTTCTTTCTCACTCTCTTTTCTTCTGTCGAAGAAATTGTATAAAAAGAATTTTAAAAATAAATTGGCGTTTATAGTAGGAGAGAGAGAGAGAAAGAGAGCAAACGTTTAAGATATTGATAGATGTTGTAAGACCCACGTGGTAGATACGTGGTACGATGATGAAATATTTAACAGACATTTTAAAATACTTGTGATAGAACAACAAAAAAACGTTTGATCGTAAATTAAACAAAATAAAAAAAAAAAAAAATAATGCAGTATGAATAATAGAAAAAATGAGATATTTTATGATCGTTAAGATCATGAATTGAAACATTTAGTGAGTGAATGGTTGGTTAAACCCCTCCCCCCTCTACCACCTCCCCAACCTGGCACGTGTGATAATTCTGGCATTTAAAAGAGATAAATAAAATGTCACATTCGAGACTGGAAATATATGATCCTTATGGTGACCTCGAAAAACCATCGAGATGCATCAAATTCTTACGTCTTCTTTGGAAGTTTAGCAGATGTGTATTCTCTCACGTAACGTTGGTATCCTTGGTTGTGGCATATTGTGTCATAGGTGCATATGCCTTTGAATCCCTTGAGGCAGATCACGAAAAACAGGTTGGTATATATATATACATATATATGTACTAATAATAAAATTGATTTTTAAAATCGTTTAAAAAATTTTAATACCTACACTGTAAATATAAATTTGTCGTTGTTAAATTACAACCTTTTATGCATTTAAACATTACTAATTTACGTACACAAAATGTATTCTTATTATCTATCTTATTATTTATTTTCACTGTAGAAAAAGTAATTAGTTATTTCGTATATTTTCAATGATTATAATAAATTATTGTATTTTATTGTTTTTTTTTTTTTTTTAATTTTCTTACATATATAGATAAAGAAAAACGTGAAATATCTGAGAGGAAATATAACGGAAAAATTATGGAAATTGACGAAAGAGGTTGAAGTATTGGTAAGAGAAAATTGGACGTTGGATGCTTTAAGAGAATTACAGGTAAGAATAAGAAAAAAAAAAAAAGAACATTTTGTTTGAATTCATCTTCAATTTTTTTCTATATATAAAATGAAAAAAAATTACATTTGTACATTGTGTATATTTTTCTCAGGGATTTGAAAGCAATCTTTTTACTTTATTAAGAAAAGAAGGTTGGGATGGTAGCGAAGAGGAAAATAACATTCAATGGACATTTGCCGGTGCTTTGTTCTATTCGATTATAGTCATCACGACAATTGGTAAGTTCAAAAGATCATTTAATTACGTTTATATAAAACAAATCAACATATTAAATAACGTAACATTCTGTTAAACCGTAAAATGTCAATTAATTGACATTAAATATCTTTTTTTTTTTATTATTTCTTCAAAATTGTAATCTTATGATAAATTTTAATCGAATCAAAAAAAAAAAATCAAAAATAAATCTGTGAAATATTTCATCTGTGGTAGTATAAAAAAATGATGACGTATTCAAAATTCGTCAAGGGACTATTCATTTATTCTATGCTTGACTAACGTTGTCGAAGGTCATGTTAAAACACGATTGGTCAAGTTACAAGTAATAGTATATATATATTCTATGCGATTAGAATTCATTTTGACGATTTATTCTCATTGATATTCTTTCGACGAATATCATGAATTACGTAAACAAATCTACAAATTTATCTTAGATCTAATTTCACTTAATTTTTATTATTATTGTCTTTGTAAAGTAAGTAGACACACACACGTGAATAGAAAACAAAATGAGATATCATTTTCTATTCAATTATCATAACACGTCGAATTATAATCCAATAGAAATAAAAGTTAACATCAAAATCCTTTCGACGTGACAATTTGAAGAATATTCCAACTAATACTGTAAATAAAATAATCGTTTGACTAACACATCCAACACTATGTTTAACCAACTCATAAATCAAATTATCTTTTTATCTTGCTTACCTATTTGATAGTAACGTAATCGTTTATAAATCGAATGAATTTCAATTTCTGTCACGTGGATCAATTGACACTAAACTCGGATAACTTTTACTATTGAAACAACAATATCTTTTTCCATTTGCACAATTACCCTAAAAAAGAAAAAAAAGTATTAATAAATAT